GCCAAGCAGCAGCTTTGAAGGAGATCATGTCTCAGGCCAAGCCCTCTGTGACTTTCTGACCTGGCCCCCTGTCAGGTGACTCTGGGATGAGCCTTACTTTGCATAAGAGCCAGGCAGGATGAGCAGGGTGTTGCTAACAAACCAGTTTTCATGGGTGGGAGTGAGCTGCAGTTCTAAGCATGGTGGAAGCCACGCTGGAGCTGATCTTCCTGCCCCAGACAAGTTCAAAGTGCTGTAGCTTCTACTGCAAGGGGATGTGGGTCACTTGTCACTTTTCTTCACATGGTGTTATTCTTCCAGCATATTCTTGATCCCTCTGGTTTTCCCCACTCTTTCCTTTTCCCACCTGGGTCATTGCTAAGATCTTGGCTTGTCCATCTAGCAACAGTGGGGTCCACATCAACCAACTCAGAAAGATCTTTCTGAGAGACTGATTCAAATCTGGGAAGATCTCGAGCCTTGTACTACAGAGGACGGTTTTTTAACTTGCCCTCGATGGACAGGCACCAACTGGGCTCAAAATTTTCTGTGGCATGAGTGAGTTACAAAGTTACCTTAAAGCAGTTCACAGAGCCATGGAAAATGGGCTTCAAAGGGAATGTGACCTGGTTCTTACTCATGTCCTCAGCTGCACCTAACTACTCCTGGCAGAGATTTCACCATCTGCATGGACAGTCTTCCAGGATGTACTGAGAGGAATGGAGTGAGCAGTGGGAACCTCCCTGAGGGCAGTTCTTTGTGTAAGAATAGTCCACACATGTTCCCAGTTGCCTTATCAAGGTAAGTGGTTATAATGGGGAACTTCTGTCAGGGGGAACAAAGGAGTTGGGGCTGTTTGGAAAGTGTCAGAAAGCCAGCAGGATGGTGTGGGAACAGCAAAAGACTGGTCAAGCCTTCAGAAATCTCAGAAAAGTAGAAAAAAAAGTCCAAGGTCCTGCCCCTGAGAGTTGGAGAAGGGAATAGAAACTCCTGAAGGCTGAAGAAGTGGCTGGTGTTTGCTGAGAGGCTTCACTGTGTGGGGCACGAGCCCTGGTTCTTGCGGATGGGTTCTCTGGATGGCTGCCTGTCCAAAGTCCAGTGCCCAACCTCATGGCCTGGAAATGGGCTAGGAAAGGCAGGATGGCTTCAATGAACCTTCAAATGGGTAAAACTTGAACAATTTACACCCAAGGGACCAGGGACTAGGGGGGTATGTGAAAAGAAAATGTTCAGTTGTTTAAACTCCCAAATAGGAAACTTTTTAAGAGGAAAACGTGAAAAAAATTCCCTTTTAGGAATGAATGGGACAAGAGCAGTATTGCCTAAGCGTGGCCACATGCTTTTTTAAAGGGGGATGTTTCAACTTCTGGCTGCCACTTGCTGAGAAAGGAGAGAGTCCCTGAAGGGGAGAAGGGTGGTGCTCCATGCTAATGGCAACATTACCCGTTCTACAGCGGGGACTCGAGCAGACTATGCAGATCAGGAAAGCCAAGAGGGAGCACGGTGTGCAAGCCTGTGAGTACCTGAGTGCCTCATCAAACAAGGCCCAGCACGGGTCTCTCTCTACAGGCTCATTTGCAATGTGTGAAAAGAAAACTGTATTTGCATAGATAATTTAATTCTGGGACACATCTGTGGAGATTGCCTGCAGGCCACAGTCAAGTCTCATGAGAGTTTCCAAGTGTGCTGGATGATAATTTCCCAGCAGAGGATGTGTCCATCCAGCACACCCTGTCTCCCTTTTAGATTCATGATGATGGGTAGAGACAGTGCAGCTGAGCAGTTGCAAAGTCAGGACAATCATAGGTAGTCATACATGAATTTGGCTTTTCCAAGGCATTCATTTTCTCCAAGATGAAGCAAAAACCAAATGCAATTCATCCTAAAGAAAACTCAGGCAAATTTAGTGAAATTTGACTGCAATGTGAGTTGCTTAAGAAGAGTTTAGCAGATGACCAAAAACTGCAGTTAAGGTAGAGGGTATTTTTTATGGTTCACTGTGACACCCTGGTTGGGTGTGAACCCTTGAGGATGGACCAAGCATAAGTGTTAAATGGGCTAAAACCCTGAGCCAGAAACCAGAAGAGAAATGTTATTGCTAATGACTGGCAAGCAGGGAGCGGGTCTCAGGCCACAACAATCAGCTCCAAGCCCCGTTTTTTCAACAGTAAACTTGAAACAAGGATCCAACTGTTGTATACATCTTGGAGCAAATGATGTGGGCCAGACCTCCAAAATGAGGTGTCCCAGGTGATCCCAGCTCCCACAAGGGATCCAGCAGCTGTAATGTGTAAGTAGCTCCATGCAGGATGAACAAGGTGCTAAGGATGAAGAGCCAGAGCAGCAGTGAAGGGGCATGAGCAGGTGGTTTATCCTTCTTACCAGGAAATGTTGTGATGGATACTGAATCCCTCCAGGGAGCTCTGAATTCAGCTCTTCAACAGGATGTTTAAAAGAGCAAGGGCTGAGAAAAGACATGGAAGACAGATGGAGAAAATTGCATCCTGCCTCCCTGGCAGTTTCAAATGAGTTCAGCTTTTGCTTTCCCTTCCTAGGACCCAGCCTTGGGCTGAGCCATGCTGCTGCTGGGCTCCAGCTATTCTCTGGCACGGGGTGATGTGTTCCCAACACGGGGTCACTGACTGTGCTTTAAGCACAGCAGGACCCTCATCCCTGCAGAGTTTGTAACACAACTCACCTTAACTATGGGCTATCTGCCCTCATTTGTGCCTTCCAGACCTCCATTCCTTCCTGCACAGCAGCACAAATCCTTCTTTGGTGCACACCTGCAGTGCAGCAGCACTTTCCTGCCTCCAGACAAAACACCCAGGCATTTTTCCTGGACTCCCCAACATCCTGGCTGCAACTGCATGTTCTCTGACAATGCCAAGTGACACCCAGAAGGATGTCCCAGCTCTTGTAGGGCTGCAAAGCCAGCTGGGATGAGGCTGTGGTCCCACTTCTGCTGGGTGAGGGATAAGAGGTAATGCACATCCACGTGTCTGTAACAGTTACCAAGGAACTGTCCCTACCCCCAGAGGGTTTTTTTTTGGTTGTTTTTTGTTTTTTGTTTTGGTGCTTTTTGGTTTATTTTTTTTGAGGGGGGGGGGGGTTGTGTTTTTTGGGGATTTTTTTTGTTTGGTTTTTTGGTTTTTTGGTTTTTTTGAGAGCAAAACTGAAGCCCGCACAAAGCGGCCATTTCTCAGTACCACAGTTTACAAAGGGCTTAGTAACAAGCATGAGTCAGTGGGGCACCAGGAGTGCTCCCTGCTAGCTTTGGGAGGAACCAGAAATAAGTCACTTCACTCCTGCTCCTGTGTGAACACTTGGGGTCTCACTCCTCTCCCCTCACTGCCTGCTGGGAGATGTTTCTCCTCATGGTCCTGGTTTCATGGAGGCAGAGACCAGATTGTTAAATTCAGCCTAAGAGCCCGCGTGTTTTAAAAGAGATCAGATTTCCAGAGATACTGAAACATGGGGACCTTCATTATAGCCACTGTGAGCTGCAGATAATCTGCACCTCTGCAAACTGGAGGGCTGCTTTCAGTGCCAAAATTCAGAATAATTCCATTGGTCTCCATATTTCAAATTGCTGGACCTTTGTCGCCCAAGGCTTTCCAAGGGGCTTTTTCATTATGTGGCTCCTGCCTCCTTCACCTGCTCTGGATGTGACCCTTGGCCCCACTGAGCCTTCATCACCCATCACTGCCCAGGCTGGAAAACACTTTCTGGAGGGTGGTGTTAGACTCCCTGGGCAAGGTTCGTGCCTCTGTTTAGCCTCAGAGGAGGATGGGAAAAGGGAGTGGAGAGGTCCTATGGCAGCTTCTCCTCTGGGACATCAGTGAAATCTAGTAAAGGGCAGTGGGAGCTGCTGCCAGAGCCAGAGGCTGCAGACTTGATGCTTTTACCAGGCTTGGGGAGTAACAGGTCATTGTTTATTTCTGAGAATGCTGTGGGGCACAGCGTGACCAACAGTGCTGTGCAAACCTCTCCGCTCCCATTGAGACCACAGCTGCCCCTTGTCCACAGCTCTGCAGGTCTGGGAATGGGCAGGAGTGAAAAATGAGCACTGCTCACGCCAAGGCCTAGCAGAGCTGAGTAAATGAGGTAAACAGAACGGTGTAAAGAGAGAAAACCTGCACGGCCCTACAGCTGTCTGCAAACAGCCCTTTCCAGCAGCACCCGGCACTTGGCTGCAGGCTGGGAGAGAAACTACAGTGCTGGAGCGAAGCTTTTGGCTTTCAGAGCCGGGGAAAAATTCCAGTAAAATGGAGTGGGTGTCTTGAGAAGAGAGAGCACAAAGTTGATGCGACCGAGCTGCAGGACCGTGGGAGGTGAGACAGGGAATGGTCAGCGCGGGGATGCTGTCAGTGGCGGTGGGTCTGTCCGCAGGACACCGAGCGCTGCTCACACACACATACCTATCGCAGTAGTCACGCTGGCCGCCACTAGCCATGGGGCGGCACAAGCAGGTCACGGAGCACGAGGTTGGCCGCCCTCGCCTTTACTCACCTTCTCGGGCCGGTTTTGCCACAGGCGCGGGGCTTTGTGCTGCCTCAGCCGCCGGGAGCAGCCGAGCGAGCGAGGCGGCCCGTTCGCAGCCGGGCGCATCCCGGGACAGGGCCCGGAGAGGAGTGAACGGGCTGCGGCGGGAACAGGTCAGCCGGGGCTGTGCCGGGGGCCGCTCTCCCAGCTCCGGGGCGTTCTGGGGAGGGCTCGATGCCGCTGTCGGCTGGAGGAGCCGCCGGCGTGAAACGGGGTCCAGCCCTGCCGGGACAGCCCCGGCCCCCGGGCATTTTCCCCGCTGCCGAAAAGTTTTGTCCCGGGTCAGACGGCAGCGGGGCCGGTGCCGCCGCCCCGGCGGGAGGAGCGCGGCCGCCCGGGCCCCTCCCGCCGCCCGCCCCCGCCGGGCCGGGCCGGGCCGGGCGGAGCCGGGCGCTGAGGGGCGCTGAGGGGCCGAGCTCCGCGTCCCGCCGCTGCTGAGGGGCTGCTCCGGGCCGGGAGCGCCGCTCCCGCAGGTTCCCGCAGGTTGGCACCCCGGGTACGGGCGCTGTCCCCACAGGTGGGTCGGGGCTCCGTCGGCGCGGTGTGGGGAGAGAGGGGCCGGCGGCCGTGGCTGGGGCTGCGAGCGGGATGGATGGGACGGGGCGCCCAGGTTACCTCCCGAGTCGCTTTCCTGTTTTGGTGTTTTTGCTGCCCTTTGTGCCCCGTTGCCCACAGCCGGCCGGAGCCCAGCGCGGCGGGGCCGGGGATGGGCCGGCAGCCCCCGAGCGCTCCCGCCCTGCGGCACGGAGCCCTGCTCGGGCGCGAATCTGGGGATGCAGAGCTCCTCGTTCGCCCTTCGCTGGCTTGGAGTGCATCCCTGAGCTCGAAACGGGGCGGGCTGGGGCCGGGGTTTTGTAGCTCCCCAGAAAACACCGTCCCAAAGGTTCCAGGCAGCCCCCGGGAGGCGCCTGTGGCAGCGGGAACCTGGCAGCACCGAGCGATGGGAAGGGGCTGCCTTGCAGGGTGCAAAGATGTGAAGCTGCAGCGCTAGGTCAATTTGTGCTAACCAAACTGCTATCACCTGGGCGAGCCGTGTGCCTTTCGGAGCTCAAAACAGGGGGGAGAAAAGTTGCAATCAACTCCACAGTGCAGCATCCTGCTGGATGGAGAGGGGGAGAAGGGACCCCGTGCCCTCGATTTGCAGGGCTGCTAAGGGGTGAGACCCTCCCCCCAGGAAACACTCAGGACCCAGCTTGTTTGCTTCCCCTTGACTGCCAGAGTTGGGCATGACACAACTCCAGGGACTTGGTCACCTCTCGGGGAAGGGCGGCTCATGGACCCAGGGCTGGATTTTGTGCTGCCCCACAGGTGCCCTGCATCCTCGGAGGGGCGGGAGGAGGCCAAGGGAACCAGATCCCGGTAACCGGGAGCTGCCAGTGTTGAGTTGCAGCTGGCATTTCCAATGCAGCCTTGGCAGAGCTGCCACATCCCCTCACCCACCTGCTGCTCTCACTGCAGACCCTGTGCTGACACAGTTTACAAGCAGCCCTTTCCACACGGGTTTGGTGCTGCCTCCAGTCTCGGAGCTGCCCCTCTGCCCCCCTGAGCAAGCCTCACTGCCGTCTGCAGGGAGCCGGGCTGGCAGACCTCGTGGAAACCTTGATGTGGCCCTGGCCCTTGGTGGGGGGCTTGTTTTGCCCAGCAAGGAGAGCAGAAGCCTGAGGAGGGCAGCGCTGGGTGCAGTTTGGCAGCCTGTGTGCCCGGGAGGGGAGCCAGAGGAGCCGTGGACATCTCTGCCTTTCAGAGCCTTAAGTCAAGTCTGTCTCCTAGGGGAAAATATTCCCTGCTGCTTGGTCATCGGGGGTAAGGTGAAAGAGCTGTAGTGCTCTGTTTTCCTGCCTCTTTAAGGACTAAATGTGTCACTTGATTTCCAAAATCCTGCCAGATTAAAAACAAAAAAAAGTAAAATAGAGAAAAAAAACCTGCTGACCTTGTTAGGGCTAGAAGCTGTCCCCGTGCTTGGGGCTGTGTGGCTTTGCAGCCTGGCCATCCTAGCCCTGTTTGTGAAAACACAGGTGTGCTAGGGCTGCGAGGGGATGGTGTCTGATTGCATGAAGGAGCAGCTGCAGCTTTCTGCCAGCTTTGGAAAGGGAGAGCTCTTGAAGGCATATGCTTAATGTGAAACATAACTTAATGGAAATATTCCTTCTGAGGTCTCTTCCTCCTCTGCATTTGATAGCTCGGCAGCAAACAGCTTCAGTGGGAGTGAGCTTCTGCTTTTAATTAAGTCATACACACCTCAACCACAAGGTAGATCTCCCTTGTAAATCACAATTCTAAATCATCAGGCTTTTTTACCTCTTATTCATGGTGGCTCTCTAAAGGTGCTACAGTTAAGAGAGAAAAAAATCACAGGCTACACCTTTCTGTAAGGCTGTTTAGCATGTTCCTGTTTGTTAGGCTGGTGCTGACACCCTGAAGGAGCTGGTGGAAGGAAGGGAAGGGATGTTGGAGCCTCCAGCAGCTGTGCTTGGGGCTGAGCTGTGCCTCAGAGCAGCATTTTGGGGCACATGCCCAACGGAGAAGGGAGCAGCAGTTGATGGGAAAGGCCTGGGAACAGGCAGGTTTCTGAGGCAGGTGGATGCATGGGAGCAGCTAGAAAGGCAACAGAGGCACCAGGAATGGGCACAGAGCCCTGAGACCTGGCTGCACCAGTCACAGCACCTTGAATCAGCGTCCTGGTGGAAAAGTGTGTGTCACACAGCCACAGTGAGTCCTGCAGCCTCCTTGTCCTGTGACAGGGTGCCAGCCTCTCTGGGGCAGGGATGTGGGTGTGATCCCGGGCAGGGATTCAGGATTGACCAGCCTGGCAGACAGGGGGGCTCATGGTTTGCCTGCAGCAACTACCAGGGCAAATTGTGAAGCAGATGCTTGGGGATATTTGCACTCCTCCAACATTGCTTCTCTTTGGCTGTGCCTGGCAGGGTGGCAGGCAGGCAGGAGCTGTGTTTCTGGGGGCATGGGGCGTGGTGGCCACGCAGTTTGGCCCTGTAGCCAGCCCTGGCCACCTCTGCCTCTTTGAGGGGAAGGTGCAGTGCAGCATGAAACTGGCTGTGTGTTTCTGGAGAGGTAACCCCTGCCATCCCACTTCCAGGTCATCTGCCACATGCCCAGTGCTTGGGATGGAGACCTTCCTGACTCAGGGCTTGGGAATGAGCAGGGGGGTTGCCCATGGAGGCAGAGCAACACCTTCAGGTGTGGTCTCCCACTAATAAATGAAATGGAGTGAAGAAAACCCAGGATTTTTCCCAAAGTGGTGAAAAGCCGCTGTGTGTCCTTCCTGTCCATGCAGCACAGCTGCTGTGGGCAGAGGCTTGGGCATGGGAGCAGCACTGCTCCTTCCTTCTCAGAGGGGCGCTTGGGGTATGCCCCCTGCCCATTTCTGTGCCCTCCTGGGCCCCAGGAGGTGAGGCTGCAGAGATCCCACTGCCTCCCTCCCTGCCTGCAGGAAGGTGAGCTTCCACCTGGGGGTACCGTGGTGTCGCTAAGATTCGGCTGGAAGGGCTTTGCCGGCGTTTCTGCTGTGGCCTGGCTCTGTGTGGGGAGGTGCCAGGCCACCTGGCCGAGCAGGGATGAGCTCAGCGTGAGGGGCAGGGGGGTCCCCACCCCTGGGCTCCCAGCCACTCTGGGGAGGCAGAAAACTGGAGGTTTCTGCTCATTTCATCCACGTGCTGCTCAGCAGCTGCTGCAGCTGGACACGAGGGAGGGTTCAGATCTTCGAGTTGCTCCTTGGCAGCTCCAAGGATTTGGTTTGCCTCCCCATCAGCTCTGGTCTTATTGGCCTCATCTGTGGCATGCTCCCTATGCTTCTTGGTATACCCTCCAATTTTCCTTCCTTTGAGCATCTCCAATCTATTCTGTCTCTGTTTCTCACATGCCTGTCATTGTATAGCAATTATGGTTAGAGAGTTAAAAGCCTTATCAGCTCCTTAGTGGGAGAAGTGTGAGTCAGCTCCTTGCAGGACTGTGTGGTGGTTCAAAAACAGTAATGTGTTTTTTTGTTTTGGTTTTTTTCTGTGCATGGAGGCTTCTTTAATTCAAAATGTAAACCACAGAACTGAAAAAAGCCAGGTGGGTATTCAGCCTGTTCTTATAAAGTTAAAAAGTTCAGAGTTAGAGCTAAATGTGCCAACCTCGTGCCATCCTCCCAAGCTGAGGGAACTACAGTGGACAGACAAGCAGTAAGATCAACATTCAGAAGTTATTGCCTTCATTCTTTCCAAAATAGGAGGCTTGAAAATCTCACCTAGCTTCAGTCAACACAAAATGTCAGGTTTCAGTCACACAGCGAGCTCCCCATGCATGCAGAGTCAGAAGCACCTTGTCCTGCATCTCCCTTCTTTGTGTGCAGAGGGTCCTGCAGCTCCTGGTGGTTATCCTCACTGAGCTTGCTGTCTGTCTTGAGTATGAAGATATCTGAAGGGCCTGGAAGTGACTCTGGACATCCCAGGGACAGGAGCAGAATGAAGCACGAGCACAGGGCAGACCCTGAGAAGAAGGGTGACAGCTTTGTAACTCCCCAGTGTTCCTGGGATTGAGCCTTTGTAACCCAGGTTTTAGGGTGATGTGATGAGTTTCTTGGTTTTCTTTCTTTTTCCTTTTGTGTTTGCAGGGAAAAGCATGAAAGTGTAGGTGCCAAAGTTTTAAATATAAATTAAAAATAATCTTCAGATATGCTGTGTGTTTTAACTCACAGTTTTTAAGTAGCTTCGTTGCGGGGGGTGCTGCAGTAAGTCTGGCTTGTGACTTTTTTTGATCACCTTGGGGATGGCAATATTGCAGGTTTCTCAGGCCAGACTAGAAGCGATCTTGTTGGACAAGAAGAGCAGAAGGAAAAAGCAGGAGCCTGTCTTGGGAGCACCAGATTTTGAATTGCAAAACCCCGTCCCGCGGTGTTCACGTTGCCGGAACAGTTATCCGGCTGATTTCCCACTGCGCAGCCCGGCGTCCTGTCAGTCCTGGCTGCTCCGCACCAGCAGAGCTCCATGTCCCACCAGCACTGGCAGCAGCAGCACAGACCCATCGTGGGTGAGCCGAGCTCCCTGCTCCCTCCTGAGGCAGCGGGGGTGGCTCTGCCCTTTGCACATTGCTCCTTCTCCCCTGTTGTTCTGCTCTGCCTCTGGCCTCACCGCCGCCTTCCCAGAAGTTCTCAGCAGATGTTTCTCCAGAGATGTTTCTCACACCTCTCCCTGCAGAGGTGTGCATGTACCATTTTGCTGTCAGGGCTGGTGTGACCGGACAGGGTTGCAGAGCCCATGAAGACTGGCACAGTTCTGAATGTGATTGTTCTGTTGTCTGTGATTTGACATCTTTGGTTTTGCACCTTTTGATTCGCCGAGCAGCGATGTCACCCTTGGGAAGAAGCCTCTCTTTCAACACTACATCAAAATGAACCTGTTGGGGTGAAAAGTTCATTCTGCCTGCTCTGGGTCTATACATGCTGCACCAATTTTTCATCTTCTTTAAAGGTTTTTTTCCCTCTGTTTTTTTTCCCAAAAGAAATGTTTTGAAAGGGAAGAAACTTTGAGAGAGTCAAGGTGTGCATTTAGATAACATCAACTGCATCTATTTTGAGGGCTATTTATGTGTTAGTCTGCAGTTACTAAGCATTGTTAGATACTGGACTCAGTGGCTTTTGAGGTGTTTTCCAACCTTAGTGATTCTATGATTCTGTGTCTGTCCCTTGAAGTGTTCAACAAACATGTGCTTAAGGACATGGTTTAGTGGAGGGGTTGGCAGTGCTGGGTTAATTGTTGGACTTGATGATCTAAGAGCTCTTTTCCAACCTAAGTGATTTTATGCTAAGTATTCCTAGGTCTTGACAGATCTGAGGAAACAGGTTTTCCAGGCCTGGAGATCCAACCATTGAGGTGACCACAAATTGCTTTTATCCAAATACTGTTTCTAGCAGTCAGTGCTTCCCTTTTATCTGAGAAGATGATGGTGCTAATATTTTTCATGTGGTCCAGTCACTTGTTTCCTGTTGACTTTTGTCTTTTTGGATCATGTCTGTGTGCAAGCCGGTGCTCCTCTGTGGCCAAACACTCTGCTCCATGTCCCAGACAGCCAGCAGGTGCAGGGCCACAGGGAGCAAGGGCAGAGCAAGGCAAGCAGAGCTCTGGGGTCCCTTCCAGCCCAAGCCATTCTGTGATTGTGCTCTGGAAGTGATCTGTCAGAATTGGTTGGCATTTTAAGTCTTAAAAACACCCCCAAAAAAACAAACCCCACAAGTCTGTTCTCAACAGACCTTACATTTTAAGGATGTGGTGTTTTACCTGTGTTGTTTTCTGTCCTGACAACCATTGCCCAGCCTCACCCTGAGGTCAGTGACCCTCTAAATTGCTGATCCCCCTTGGATCCTCTCCAGGCTACAGAGAAGCATTCCTGCCAGCTCTCACAAGAGGCAGGAGCTGGGCTGGAAATGCCTGTTGCCTTTCAGCGACAACTGCACTGGTGCTTGCTTTGTTGCATACTAATGAACACTAATTAGCCTCGGCTTGTTATCAACTTAGTGTGGGAGCCGTTTGCAGAATGCAGGGGTGGGGGCTGGGGAGACCCCAAGGGGCTGCTGCCCTCCTCCAAGGGGTGCCCTCTGGGTGGATGAGGGCTCCTTGTGGTGACACCTCCGTTTGTGTGCTGTGCCTGCTGGCCTCATGCCAGCCTTGGTAGGGGTCCACCTGCCAGGAGTGTTCCCTCTCTGACATGGCAGGAGGTTACAAGCAGTTATAGGGGTTTTTGTCTGTAAACCCACCAGGGCATGGGGAGGAGCTGAGCCCCTTGGAGGCTGGGCAGTGCTCACCTTCAGGTTTTCTCAGCATCAAAGCTTCTGTGCCCCTCTCCTACCCCCATCCCCACCCAGTCCCTCCACACTGTCCATTGGTCTCTGAATTGTTCAGCTGGAGCCTGTCTCCTCCTCTCCACTGCACTTCCAGCATTGTAGCAATCCTGGCATTCACTGCAGCAGCTGGAAATCTCCTGCACCCGTGGCTCTTGTCCAGTCACTCAGCCTGAGCTATGGAGGGCATGAAAACTCCCAGAGGATGAGCCTGCTGCAGAGGGGAAACACCATCACAGTTTGCCACAAGCTGGAGAGAAGGAGGCTTGATGGAGCTGGGTGGCTTCAGCACTCTTGAAAAACACATCTTTACACACCATGTGTGTAAACTCTTCAGTCTGGCTGATGTGTGATACTGTGTTTGTAGGACACAGTGAGCTGATCTCATGCTGGGGGAAGTTCTGGCAGGGGCAGGACAGTGCCAGGACCTGCAGTACCTGAAGGCTTCTGCCAGCAGGAGAGCTGGGGTTATTGCTTCAGAGCTGGGCCTGCTAATTTTGGACAAGTAGCCCACTTAGCTTGATGTGCTTGGGCTGGAACTTGTAAGCAACTACTCTGAAGCTGAAAAATCAGTCTACACTGGAGCTGAGAACAACACCTGTAGCTTTTCTGGCATTCGAATCCCAATTATGCTCCGTGACGAACATCAAGTTTCAGACCAGGCCCTGGTGACCATGCTTCTTTTTAATTTACTCTTTCTTTGCTCACATAATGACAGGAGTTTTTCCAAAGAAAAGGCTTGGAAGGAGAGGGCATCAAAGTGTCAGAAGCAGTGACAGGGAAGGTTGGCCAGGTACAGGGGATGCTCAGCCAGGGAGCAGCACCGAGGAGCTTCATAGGAGTAATTTTTTCCTCCCACCTGTTGTTAGGAGCAAGCAGGGAGTGAGCTGTTGTGCCTCCTCCCCAGCTGCTAACGACAAGAGACTCACTTATGGTCGTGTGCTGGAAGCTAATTAAACCTGGTGACAATGGTAATTGAGTAAGGATGCTTGAGGATAAGTATGACCTCATGTCTAAAATGGTAATGAGGCCTATTAAAATCCACACCAAAAAGAGAAATGAAAGGGGGAACAGAGGCAAAGGTGGTGCCAAGGGAGCAGGAGCAGGCAGGGACAATACCTGGCAGCCAGAGCACCGGGAGGGAGGGAGCATGGAGGTGTCAGGCTTCTCCATCTCCTTAATAAACAGCCAGCTCTGCAGGTAGCCACGCTGCGTCTGGGGCCAAGTCAGCCAAAACACAGCATTAAGCACCTTCCCCTCTGCTCTCCCAGGCCTGGGTGTAGGTCCTGGTAAGTGGTGGCAGCACTTGTTGCTGTTTGTTGTCTTCAGTGGCTGGTTCTCTGCTGGAAGAAAGGGACATTCCATGAAACCAGCAGTCACTGCCAGCACAAGGAGGGTACTTGCAAAATGACCCTGAAATTGCTCCAGTGCAGGGAAATGCACTGGCAAAGGAAAGATGCAGTGGGTTCAGGGCGCCATGCTCATTCTTGGACCAGCACAGCACCTCATTTCAGCTCCCAGCTGGGATATAGGGGCTGGGGGCCACTGTGACCCTCCACAGGTGTTGTTTTGCAGGGTGGTGTGGCAGTGCTGGGGGTGCCACCGTGCTCCGTGGGAGCCCTGGTCCTGAGCTGACTCTCCTTGCTGCAGAGGAACCCAAGGGACGCTGGAGGGGGCACTCCCTGTCCTGGCTCCGGACGTGCATCACATCAGTTTGGGTAAGCTCAGCCCCAGGCTGTCCTCAGACCCCTCCCTGCTGGCAGGGGGGATGTGGTGTGTGCCAAAGGTGTCTTCTCACCGGAGAAAGCCAATGCTCATCCTCCTCCCAGCAGGGCAAAGGTACGGCTGGATGACGGCTGAGGATGTGCTATGGAGCCGGGATTCAACTGCTCTGAGCTCTGCGATGGCAGCTCCAGCTTTGGCAGCCAGGAGCAGCAGCAGCGGGCCCTGCAGGAGCTCTGCACTGTGACAGTGGTATGTATGGATGCAGTGGGATGTACGGGTGCAGGGGAGTGCTCTGGGACAGGAGATTTGCTCTGCGGTAGATTTGGGGGAGGGATGAAGAGGGGGGTGCAGCTGCCAAGCAATCCCAGTCCAGCTGAAGGCAGCACACTGTCACCTGGCTGAAAGAAAGACAAGACACACTCAATCTAGGTGACACCCAGCAGTTATCCAAAGGGGAGAAAGCATCCATGACAGCCAAGTCATGTCAAGCAGCCCTCCCATGTGTCAGCCAGCTGCTCAGGATTGGCCTGCGATGGCCCCGTCTCCCCTTGACCTTTCCTGTCCCCTCTAACTTGAAAGTGCTTTTCAAATATGAGTAGAGCAGGATTTAATTAAAAGTCATCCTCTGTAATAAACAGCACCTTCCCCCCTCCACCAGTAAGGCAGGGGTAGAAGTGACACTGGGATGCACTCAGTGGCAGCTGGCACCACGTGGGGCTGCTGGATGGAGCAGTGAGCTTGGCCCACTCGGCTCTCCATCACGTCCTGCACGACCATGGGCCTTTAATTAAAAGACTGTAAGCTGCTTGGCTCCTCTGGCTCTGGCAGCCGGCTTACAATTAATATTCCCCCTGCCAGGACCAGGATTTACTGCGCTCAGCAGCCAGCAAAGCGCTCCATCAACTTCAAGTAGCATCAACATCCAGGGAAACAGCAGTCAGGTGGGAGGGTGTGTGGGAGAGAAAAAATGGAGATCATAGGGGTGTTTCTGATCCCTAGGTGGTTGCTGGGAATAGGGTGCAGCAATGCTTTTGACAGCAGCCAGAGGTGAAAAGAATTTGTTGGTGGGTGCATCTGGGGGTGAAGTGGAGAAGCCCCAGGATGCTGAGCTTGCCTTGCTCACCTCAGTGGCAAAAGCCAGGTGTTACCCTTGGGCTCGAGCAGGCAGGACACAGAAATAGAATGGCTTTACAGCCTTGCCCCAGCCCTGTCAGCTCCAGCCCTCATCTGTGCTGAGTGATGGGCTTTTCACACAGACAGTCCTGGTGTGAGCAGGGCACTGACCTGGCTGACCATCTTCACCATCTGGTGTGGTCTTCATTTCCCAGAGAGGCAAAAAACTCCCCAGGGAATGGGAAGAGGAGGGTGGAAGCAGTTTTCAGGAGGGAGATGAGGATCCCCCCAGGGATCCCTCCACACTGCTGCAAAGGGAGGCTGAGATGTGCACACAGCTGTATCCCAGCAGCAGCAGCTCTCAGCTGGATATCTCTCCCAGGCAGGGGTTTGCCTTTCCCAGTTGCCCTCTGACCAGCGTGGCTCCAGCATGTGAGCTGCCAGGAGCCTGCAGATCAGCTATGCTCATGTGGCAGTGACACGTTTTTGTGTCAAGAATTATGTGGTGGCTTTAATTCTGCAAGCTGTGCGTTGTTCTTGCTCGCCCAGAGGAGATGAAGCCTGGCTGGGGAAGAGGGACATGAGGCGTTGGCTCTGAACGAATGCCTTTCTTCTGCCTGAAGATTTATTTCTAGCAAGGTTGGAAGCAGAAACAGCTCAGACCTTGAAGGAAAAATTGGGAGTTTGGGGCAGTGTTAACTGTCTTCTGCAATAGAAATTGGATGCAGGAATACCTGAGAGAGGACTCAGCCCCAGAGAAGTTAGTGAGGAGGTGTGTGATCCCAGCTCAAACCCCATTCTTCTCCCTCCCCCCTTAAAGGGGATATTCCAGCACTTTTATTGAAGTGATGCTTTTTTTAAGGAAAAAGAAGTTGGTAACCCACACATGCACACCCTGTTGAAAATGCTGGAGCATTTTAGATCAGTAGCGGAAGTGGTTTCTTGTTTCACGTGGGATCATTTTATCCGTTTTATGTTAATAAGGAGATATCAGAGATTATTTTAAATGGAGATTTAAACCCATAGGGTGGTTTGTGTGTAAGGGGAGAGGTGCCTCCATCATACCCACTTTGGGAGTGTCCCTCCAAAGCCAGTTCTCAGCTGATGCCTGCCTGGGACCAAGTTAGTTTCCATCCGGCAGGGAGACGGGTGGATTCCAGCTCAGTGTGTCACCACCTCTGAAAAACGCTGTCACACTCCCTGTGCTGTGCTCCTGCCCCGACTGGCAGCTCTGCTGCTGGCTCCCAGGCACGTCCTCTAGCTGATCAGGTGTCTGCTGCAGGGAGGGGTAAGGGGGGGAGCCAAGAAGCATCTAAAGAAGCATGATACCAACTGGGGCACCACAGGGCCTTCCTCCAAAGATTTCCTTCCAGAGGACAGTGGGGAACCAGTGTCCATGTTCCTGTGTTTCAGAGGCAGGGCTGCTTGGGATTTATGAATCCCTTGTACAGCTTCACTATGGATTTGGCTAGTTGGCATAAGAGGAGGGCTCTTGGACTGCTATGTCCTCCTGAACACTCAGCAAGTGACAGAGCACATGTCCTGTCCACACACATCTCAGTGGCCCTACCTGCAGGACTTGGTCTGGTGCCAGAGTGTCTTCTTACTGGGAGCTGTGGGTTCTGGCTGAGCAGGATAACTGTGGATCATGCTGGAGTAGGAGCCTTCTTTGCTAAGAGCCCCAGCAATGTCCTCTTCTTCCTTACCCCTTTTGCTTCCTGCAGACATCGTTTGACCACAGTATGAAGAGCTCCCCATCCTTCTCTGCTGGTCTCCTGGGAGTTGTGTGGACATTCCTGACTGGAGGAGTCCTGCTAGCACTCTTCTTTTTCATCTTCACTATTCGCTTCAGGAAAAACAGGTAAGGGCATCCCTTTCCTCCTGGGAGGTTTCCCCTGAGCTGGAGTAGCAGAGTCAGGCTCTTTCAGGAGCAAGCTCCGAGCTGATGACCAGCTAAGGATCAGGAGGGTGTAAGCCTGAAGGAGCAGCACAGGGCAAGAAAGGGCAGTGCCAGGGATGTTTCAGCTTCTTCCATCACACAGAGTTTTGATCACTGGGGGAGACAGTCCTGTTTGGACTGCTCCTTTCCTTCCCAAGGCAGGGAGCTGTAGACAGGATGAAAGGAAATGGTCTCAGGAAATACATCAGGGGAGGTTCAGGTTGGGCACCAGCAATAATTTTTTCTCCAAAAAGGTTGTCAAGCATTGGAACAGGCTGCCCAGGGAAGTGGTGGAATAACCATATCTGGAAGTGGTCAAGACTGGATGTGGCACTTAGTGCTGTGGTTTAGTTCTCATAGTGGTGTTTGGTCAAAGGTTGCACTTGATGGTCTTGGAGGTCTTTTCCAACCTTAATGGAAAGTTCTATGACTGTATGGGTGCCCTCTGGCACAGACAGTGATGCATGGTCTCATCCAGGTGCTACTCAATAAAACCATCAACAGGAGTGGGTAAAAGGAGAGCTCAATTCTACTCCACGTGCTTGAGAGCATTGGAGCAGCACAGCCCCACAGCAAGGCCATCATACTCCCCACAGTGAGCCATGTCCTCCCTGCTGTTGGGCCACTCATACTTTGAAGATATTGATAACCCTTTTTGCTCTTGGTGGTTGCTTGTATTGGTGGAGAACATGATCTCCATTACTCAGAGAAGCTGGTGGTGAAGTGTAGACTTTTTTTGGTGCTGTTCAGTCTGCTCTGATAAAAAGTCCTGCTCCTCTGAAGGCAGCATAAATCCAGCAGAAGGCTCGGCAGTTCCTCATAGCTCAACCTGTCTCAGCCAGTGCTGATCCTTCCTCAGCAATTCTGGATGTCTCTGCTGCCTCTTTGCCACCTTCTCCTCAGCCTCATTGGCTCCTTGGTATTTCAGTTGCCTCCAGGGATACATCCCTCTCCCAGGCTTCACCAGGCGAAGCCTTTGCTCTCCATGTGCCTCTGTTTCACACAGAGGTACATCTGAGTGCAGCCTGCACTGATGTTGTTGGACTTCTCTGGTGGCTTTAAGGAATTTAATGCTCCTGACAACCACGGTGCAGTCAGGAGGGTCCTGCCCATAAGGGTTTGTGTTGAGAGTCCTGTGCCTGCTGCATGACCTGCATCCCAGTCTGAAGCACTTCATTTACTGAGTGGTGTTGAGTTCAGTGGCCGCTTGAATTTATGTTCTCGGAACGTGCTGTAATGAATGTGTGTTATTTATTTACCCTGCGGTAAATAAATACTGGTCTGCCTCCTGAACCTGGCAAGGCAGAGGAGACCTTTCTCAGCTGCAGCTGACAGCATGAGCTGGTGAATATCTTTCTCCAAGGGCTGAGACATGGTGAGGAAGGCAGGGAGGGAGAGAGACAAGTTGAACCCCAGGCTTTGTGGCTGGAAGACAGCAGGAAGGAGCTCAAGGAGAGAGAAAAGTAATGACTTGGCAGCAGGTTGAAGGAGCAGAGCTGTTGGGGAGGGTGGCAGGAGGTGCAGCTTTCACTCAGTAGGCTGGCTGGGGAAGGGTGACAGGTCATAAGAGATCAGTGGGTTGATTCTCCCCTCCCTGAATACAGTTACCGGATTATGAGTGATGAGGTGAAATTACAGAGGGGAGACTGTAACCTGAACATTGCTGGCAGCTTCCTGTGCTGAGTGTGGAGATACCTCCTCAGAGGAAGGAGCAGTGGGAAGGGCCTGTTCTGGAGGCACACATAGCTCTTGCACCTGGAGCTTACTGCTGGGGACTGTCACCCTGGGCTGTATTGGTGTGGTTTTCCACCTCTGTCCCTCTGCAGCAGAAGTGTTGGCATAGGCTAAATGAATACTTGAAGGATTGTGAAGCACTCCAGCAAGAAAAGGGAGAGGGTGGGACCATGGAGTGATGGCTGAGCTTTTGGGGCAGTGGCGAACAGCACAGGCTGGGGGTGGACAGTGTGTCAGCATTCCTTGTGACCGTCATCATCTCTGTAAGGGGACCTCACCCCAGTGCTGCCAGGGCATGATGCTCAGTAACTGTCACCAAATCCCCTGCTTTGTTTCCTGGAGGATTGTGAAGATGTCCAGCCCCAATCTCAACATTGTGACCCTGCTGGGCAGTGGCTTGACTTACACAAGTGCTTACCTCTTTGGGATTCAGGAGCAGAGCCTGCCATCTGGAGACTCAATGGAAAAGCTAATTCAGGTGAGCAGGGGCTTGGCTGGGATGGGCACCTTGACACATGTACAGGCCTGTTTGTATGTGCTCTCTCCCAGCCAGCTGTCACCTGTACATGCTCTGTCCCAGCCACAGCCTGTCACCACCGTGTTGCTCAGCTGGGCTGTGGCTTTCACATACACAAAAGGCAGCCAGACACTTTCTGTCTGAATGGGGCCTTTGCTGTTTTGCAAACCACATCTGCACCGAGGTCCCTGGGGACAGGTCCTGCAGGCAGACAGGCTGCTGGATTTGTACAAGTGCAGCAGGCAGAGGGCAGCACAAAGGGAGATGGGACCCTCCACACAGCCACCACTGCCTGACACAGCACAGGTGCTCTGGGTGAGTTTTTTGGCTGCAGAGCAGATCTTCATCAAAACACTCGCCTGTGTGATGAGCCCCCATGTCCTGGCCTGAGGCAGCCACCCTGCCAGACTGAGAACTGGGCATGCACCCATGTGGGAGAGTGGGATGGAGCACACCCTGCATCGTGCTCAGCCACTGCCCTGAGGATAATTAACAGAGGTGCCAGCAAGTGATTTATGGGTGCTGGGACTTTCTGTGCCCCTGCTGCTCACAAGCTGCTTGTCTCTCCCTGCCTGCCCTTCCAGTGAGAGTCTCTAGGTAGGCAGCAGGCATGCCTACAGAGGAGTGCTTGCCTTTGAATTTATTTCACCCTGTAGACAGCTTTCTAGTATCTGGTATCACCCTCCAGAAGTCAGAAGACTTCTGTCTTCTGCTGTCTCCTTCGGCCATCCTCGCTGCAGCCCAGGCTGGGAGGGTGTGTGGTGTCCCTGAGCCCCTTTAGCCCCTTGCTGTGCCCCTGCAGGTGAGGCTGTGCCTGCTGTGCGTGGGGACCTCGCTGGTGTTCGGGCCTGTGCTGGGGAAGAGCTGGAGGCTCTACAAGGTGTTCACCCAGCGGGTGCCCGACAAGCGCGTGGTGAGTACCCGGCACTGAGGCGCGAAGGGGAGGACAGACTTTCCATGGAGGGCAAACACCAGCAAGTCCCAAACCAGAGTGGGATAGCAGATGGAACTGGCACATGACAGGGATGGATGCCACAATCACAGGTCTGGTTTCACACCTGCCTGGGCATGGGCCCTTCATTTATTCCTGCACAATGAGGCAAGAGCTTTCCCGCTCCACAGGCAAGTGGGTGCCCTGCCTCTTCCCCAGTGGAGTCCCAGCCCCATCACCAAGCAATGTTCTCATTTTACACTGGCCACATGCCTTTGTTACACTACGCACCAATGTTTGTGTTCAGGTCTATTTTCATCCCACAAAAACAATGAGCTGTTTTTGTGGGATGAAAATAAACCAGGTGTCCTCAAAAGTATCTGATCTAGGGCCATCCCCAGGTGGATCCGTTCTGCTCTTGAAGGCAAGAAGGGAGTGCTGGGCTCTCCTTTGCAGCACTTAAGGATGGGGATTCAGAAACTGGGAGGGAAATGGAAAATTTGTGCACAAAAAAGTGCAGTTACAGCTTTCAGTAGTCACTTTCCAGCAGTGAAAAAAGTAGGTCTCAGATGAAAGATGGGACAAGAGGCTATGCAGGGGAACTGGGTATCACAAGGATTCCTGTTTCACACTGGGATCTGTGTTAAATTTGCAAAATGATGCTCGTACCAGGTGTTTTTGTCTGCCCTTTTTGTCTCTGCTGGTGATATGGTCATAAGGGATGATAGTCTTGTTTTGGAAGAACTGTTTTCTGTCATAGCATTTACCTGCTATCCACACCATCAGGCAGAGTTTATACCTCGTCTCAAGCCTGATTAGGTCTCCAAGAATTTGGGAGTTGAAGACAGAGATCTTGTGGCCAACTCAAATGTCGGTGCTGGACACCTCTCTGGGCGAAGTAGTAGGATAGATGTGCCACTTGAAAGAAACAACAGAAAGGGACCCGAGGGGGATGGAGGTCATTGGTGACCATTCCTTCCCCATAGTAACTTTTGTTTCTTGCATGTTTGCAGATTATCAAAGACCTGCAGTTGCTGGCCATGGTGGCAGCGCTGGTGCTGGCAGACACTGTCTTGCTCTTGACCTGGGTGTTCTCTGACCCAGTCCAGTGCTTCCGAAGCCTCAGCGTCTCCCTGCGGGTAAAAGGATGGGGAAGGCAGGGTGGGGTATTGCTGTGTCCTCCCTGAGCTCTGTGAACAGAGTTAGTGGGTGGCCAGGCATTTGGAGGTGGTCTTTGAGAAACAACAGAAAGAAAAACGAAGCAGAAAACCTTCTGGGCACTCTGGATTTGGTTTATGTCTGGTCTATTACAGAGGTGAGAGTCCACTGCAAAATTTCCAGGTCTGTGCAGATCACCTGCATGGCACAGGAGGGCTCCAAGGCATCTGCTTTAGACAAATGTTTAACCAGCCCTGTAGGCAGCAGAAGGCCAAAATCATCTTGCTTTAAGACTCTGCCCCTGGTAGCACCAGCTTTTGGCCTCTCCTTTCAGAAATTTACATAGGAGACCAGCTTCTTCCCATTGGTCTGTGCCAGCCTTCACTTGTGCCTCTGCCTTGCCTTGTAGGCCACAGAGAAAGGCATGACGTGCTCCGTGAGCCGGGTGCAGTCCTGTGCATCGCTCTATTCCGACCTTTGGCTCGTTCTCATTTTAGGCTTTAAGGTATGTACCCTCTTGAGTGCTTCTTGCATTGTATCTCACCTCCTCCCTGTCTTTCAGCCTAAACTGTCTCGCAGCATTTGTCACTTCGCTGCCCTCCCAAGCTACATGCCCACTGCAGATCCCAGCTACTCCTGTTCATCTCATAAGCCTTCCTGTTTCCAGCCCTTCCCATCTTGGGAAGGGTGAAAGCCCTGCTAGCTGCGTTCTCCTTGCTTCGCCATCTCCTCTATGTACACTGTGCACATACAGTCTCTCAGGATCTCTCCCGGCACCCCTCTGAGCTTCATCTCACTTCTTGAAACTCAACATCTTCCTGGTCTTTACATCTACACTCCTTCCCTAAAGACTCCAGTGAATGGCCACTGCCGAGGTGGCTCAATCTCTGTGTCCTGTGACTTCAAACCAAGGAGGTGCTGATGACAAGTGCTTGGTCCCCACCTCTGCAGGATGCTTATCGGGTTAATTATACCTCTGAGTGCACTTTCACTGGTGAATCTCTGCACATGGCCAGTCTTCTTCCAGCAGTGTTAGTTATACTGAGGTAACTATGTTGTATAATTATCACTGTAATTATCTGTGGTCTCATGTGTCTCTGGTATGGCAGAGGCTGGACACATTTCAGAAAGCTGATGTTGATGAAGCTTGTGACATCACAGCCTTTTTTTGGGAATGGCTTAATCTCTGCATGCAGCACAGGCACTTTCTTTGTGATTCACTGTAATGTAATACTCATTGACCATCTACCCAGAATCATAGGAAAAAGAGCAGAAAGGGACCTCACAACACAGCCAAGTCCTTCTACACTTAATGACAAAGTCCTTAAAAGTCCTCTGCTGTTAGGGAATGTAGGCATTACCTGGGCTTTCAGTGCTGTGTCTCCACCTCTGATTTTGTCTGCAGTTTGTGTTAGGGTCTAGAGAGGTAATGCCTCTGCCTACAGCCCTTACAAAATCCTTTTGGAAATAAAACATCCCCATAATCAGTTCCAGGTAATCTTTTTAATGTTGTGTTGAATCTGGCCCTGTTCCTTCCTGCTTACTGGGGGTCATGGAGTATTTCCTTGGTGATTTCTCTGGAGTTAGTCTGGATTTACACTAATGTGAGTGTAGGCTTTATCTCTGCATACATTGCACCACTTAGCATCCACAGCATTAATGTGCTCAGCCCTTTGGGAAGACACTCAGTGTATTATCCTGGTTTTACTGGCACAGAGCAATGAACAGAAATGACTTGCCAAGGACATGCCTGGAATTAGAAGCAAAGTCCTCTGCTCAAGTTTAAAACAAACAAACAAACCACTGAGAGTCCTAGTTTAGGAGACGCAGTGCTGTTGTCTGTGTCCCAGATAGACTGTATGAATTTAAATGGGACTTTGGTGCTGGTTTTTTCCTGCTCAGGGATTAGGGGTTGCCTTGCCTTTGGGCTGTTTGGAGGTGCCCCATGGTGGACACAGTTATGATCCAGTGCAGATTCCACAGAGCAAGGTCAGGCACCAGCCCAGTTCCCAGCAAGGCAAGTTTCACTCTTACAACCCCACCCTGAGACTTCTGCTGCTTTGAAGTTGGGAGTCTCACCAGAGATCTGGACATGAATGTCCCTTGCTTGTGTCCCTCCAGGCCTTAGGCCTGGCAGTGGCCATCACAGTCACCAACAGGCACAGCACAGGGGAGTTCACAAGGGTCTAACAACCATCTGCATCTCATGCCACAAAGCACTTCTTGATGCCCAAATAACAATGACTCTTAGTAAAAGGCTGACACTTCCTGGGTAGCACAGGAATAATGTATGTCACATTCCCTGTATTCCAGGTCCTTGCAGGAGCTGGGACTTTGTTAGATGGTATTTCCAAATGATCCTGAAGGCAAACCATGCTCAGTTCTATGGAGGCAGGCAAAAAATACTTTGTGTTTCCTGCTAATGTCATCTAGGGAAGGAGATGCTTATCCTGCTGGGTAGTTTTATCCTGAGCACACTGGCAAAATGCATGCATGAGACCCTTGAGGAGGAGGGTGGTGAGACAGCCTTCTCTGAAACAGCTGCTCTACTCGGGGGGAGGGAGAGCCTCTGTAGAGGCACTTCTGTAGTGCCCTTCCCTGCTGCTGGAGTCAGGAAACAGCCAAGGGAAGGGAAAAGAATTGCACATGGTAGTTTCCTGGATTATTGCTATTTAAAGAGGCACCAAGTACATCCTCTTCCCTCCAGTCTAAACCTCCATATCTCTTTGCCTTGTTTTTTGAATTCCTTCTGGGTATCTTTCCTGCTCCTTCAGAGGTATTGCTCCTTGATGGCACCCACTGCTTCATCCCTGTAGGGATCCCTGCTTCCTGTTTGTCTGCCTTTGCTTCTCCTGCTCCAGGCTGCCCAAGGAGTGGTTTTCACAATTTCTCCCTGCCATCCCCTGCTCTGTGGCAGCACCTGCTGACCTGCGACTCTTGGCTCTTCACGCCCTTTGGTTGGGACCCCCCGTGCCCACAGTGCCCTCACTGCTGCCCTGTGTCCCCAGCCCCTCCTGCCTGCAGCAGCGTGCCGGGCGTTTGCCGCGGCGTCACCGCCGCACGTTGCAGGTCTGCATTACAGATCAAAGAGCATTAATTAGGATTGCGCTGAGCGCGATCTGAGCTCACCGGGCTTGGTGCGACATGGGGCTTGACACCATCAGCCTGTAATTTTCCACACTCTGGAAACCTCTTTTTTCTGTTTCCAGAGTATCCTCCTGCTGTACGGGACCTACTTGGCCGGTCTGACCGACAATGTCAGCTCCTCTCCAGTGAACCAGTCCTTGACACTCATCGTCGGGGTCAACCTGGTTTTCCTGGCTGCTGGCACCATCTGCTTAGTTCACCGTTTCTTCCGTGCTTGGCACAATCTGCTGTTTGGTTTTACCTCTGGAGGCATCTTTGTGTGTACAACCACCATCAACTGCTTCATCTTTGTCCCACAGGTATGCTGCCACCTCTGTCCTGTCACTTGGCTGGAAATAGGCACGTTTTAGGAGTTTAACAACGGCAACCGTGGGCGTCAATGCATTCACTTTCCTGCTTTTTTCCCCCAAATGTTTGGACTCACCTGTACAGCTCGTTCTCCAAGCCCCACCCCACCCTGGTGGTTCTGCTTCCCCAAGCAAGTTCCCAGAGTCTCAAAGAATCACAGAATTGTTTGTATTGGAAGAGACCTAAAGATCATCTGGTTCCAACACCCCTGCTGTGGGCAGAGAAGCTTCCACCAGACCAGGCTGCTCATAGTGCCATTCAGACTGACCTTAAATGTTTCCAGGGATTGGGCTATCCACAACTTCCCTGGGCAAGCCTGATCCAGTGTCTCACCACTATCATAGTGAAGAATTTCTTTCTTGTATCTAATCTAAACTACTCTCTTTTCAGTTTAAAGGCATTCTCCTTTGTCCTATCACTGTGCCCTTCTAAAATGTCCATCTCCAGCTTTCTTGTTCCTTGTCCCCTTTATGTCATGGAGAGTCTCCAAGGAGTGCAGCACTGCTGCTCAGAAACCCTCCTGCAGGAACGTGCCCCAGGTGACAGCCACGCAGACAGCACACATGAGGCGAGGCAGCCACTGGCCTCCTCCTCCTGCTCCATGCAGGTGGTGGGATGTGTCCTTTGTGCACTTGTCCTTCCCTCATGCCTCACGTGCCCACTTGCACCAGGAGCTCCTGCCACTGGCAGCGATGGGCACAGACCATTCAGATGGCCCAGCCACTCTCAGAGACTTCCCCAGGGGAGGCTGTCCTCCTCTGCACTTTTGAAGAAGGAAGCTGGGCTTTCCCACAAGCCAGGAGGAGGAGGAGGTGTTTAAAGGAAGCCTTTTGTGGTGAGCTGAGGCACTTCTGCTTCCTGTGTCCTCCAGGAGCAGCCTGGTGTGCCTGGCCACCACGTTAGTGGGAATAATGCTCCCATTGTTACAGGGAAGGGAAACAGCTATTTACTTAGTTGAATGTTTGGAGGGATGTTTGGGCTCAAGGACATGAGGTGAGAAAGGGAGGAAGAGGTGAAGCTGAGGAAGGCACATCTGTGCAAGGGAGGGCTCAGGGGATCTCAGCAATGTATATAAATATCGATGGGGGTGGAATAGGGAAGGGGGAGCAAGGCTCTTCTCAGTGGTATCCACTGACAGGACAGGGGACAATGGGCACAAACTGAAACACAGGAAATTCTATTTAAACATGAGGAAAAGGCTGAAGTTTTTTCTGTGAAAGTTGTAAAGCACTGGAGCAGAATGCCCAGAGAGGCTGTGGAGTCTTCATCCTTGGAGATACTCAAGGCCCAGTTGGACACAGTCATGAGCAGGCTGCTCCCTCTGACATTGCTTGAGCAGGGCACTTGGGATGATTTCCAGAGGTCCCCTCCTGCCTCTTGGGGCAGAGCAGCCTTTGGGAGCAAGGATCCAAACCCCCTCTGGTGAGCTCCAGGCCTGCTGGAGCACCAGGTCCCTTGGACTGAGGGTAGAGAAGCTGATGAGCTGTACTTTCACTCTGCCTGTACCATTTTTCTTTGGGACCCTGGGGCCCTTGAACATTTTATTTAACTTGGATCTTTTAATTCATTACCTTGTTTTTCCTAATGGGTTTGCTTTTCTATAGCTCATCTGAGATCAATAAACAGCTGGAGCTGAGCTGCACAAGGCTTCCAGGCAGACACTAGATGAGCAAATAGATATTAAACATTGCTGGTTTTCAGCTTGTCACCAGTGATTCAGGGATAAGGGGGCAGGCATGACACTGTCTTTGTCTGTCATGGAGTCAGGGAGTGGGGAGAAGAGGGAGGGGGCTTTTACAGTGTGCTCAGCAGTCTCGGTGCAGCCAGGCACTGACCCTCTCCTGCATTAAAAGCTGGAGCCAGGAACAGGGTAGGGCTCAGATGGGTGGGAGGCTCCAAGTGACACTGCAGCCCCTCGCCCAGCCATCTCTGGCTGGCTGTCTCTGCTCCACCCTGCCTTTGTCTCCCCCTCTCCATCCCTTTGTCTCCTTCGCGCTTGAGCTGCGCCTGCCTCCCGCTGTGTCGGCCGGGGCTCTGTGGATAACACCCTCTTCTACTCCCCAGCTCAAGCAGTGGAAAGCCTTTGAAGAGGAAAGCCAAACCATGAGCCACATGGCAAAATATTTCACCAGCCCGAGCAGGAGCTGCCGCTCAGTGTACAGCGAGGAGCAGCTCTACCAGCTCATAGGGGAGAAAAACTCTATGAAGCGGCTGCTCACTGAGGTACGGGGCTCTGCCAGTCCCCCTCCTCCAGCTTCCCCCCTTCCCTTTTGTGGGCTGAAGGCTTTGCAGGGTGGGAAGCCCTTTTTTACACCCCTGTCCACACTGGTGATCCCTCACCACCCTCTTCCTTCCTGAGGGGAAGAGCTGCTTTGTTTTGTCACACTCCAAAGCACCACAATTTAGGCATAATTTGGAGGGGTTAAAAAAATTCTGTAGGGAGGAGTGCAAGAGAGCTGGGTTCCCACAGCCTTGTCAAACATGGTTAATTTAGAGGGGAAATGCTCTGTCTCAGAAAAGCCCCCAGGCTCCTGCTCTGTCACCTGCACTGCATGGGCAGGAACGCCCCAGCCTGAAGAGCTGCCTGCCCAGTGAGCCCCTTCCCGTACACACGTCTGGGGGGCTGCAGGGGAGGCTGAGGTCACACATGCTGCTGGTGTGGCTCTTGCCATGCAGAGAGGGGTGATTTGTTTTCTGGCAGTGTCTGCTTCCAAATTGGCAGCGTTTTCCTCCTCCCTGCCCGCCCCACACTTGACAGGCTTATTTGTTTGACACAGAAAAACGCCGTGATCGAAAGCCTGCAGGAGCAAGTGAGCAGCGCCAAGGAGAAGCTGATGAGGCTGATGTCTGCGGAGAGCGGCTGCGACCCCCGTGTGCTGCCAGCAGCTCCCTGCACCTGGAGCTCAGGGCAGCCTGGGGATGCACCAGGGGACTGCTGCCCCCCGGATCCAGAGAGGGATGGATGGCAGCCCCCCTGCTTGCTGGGTTCATCACCTCCTGGCAGCAATGCTCAGGCCCTCCAGAAAGATGCAACCCAGGAGCCTGTTTGCACTCAGGTGCTGCTTTTTAATGGAGGGGACAGCATTGAACGTGGCCTGAAAGATCTCCAGGAGTGTGGGACACCTGCAGTGCAGGAGCAGCCTCCGGAGCAGCTGCCAGGCCAGGACAATTCAACTGGTGTAGCCTGGGAGTCGTCCCCCAAAGTCAGCTATGTAAACAGCGAGAAGCTGTGGGAAATCTTGCAAGAGTTAAGCCTGGATGGCAAAAACCACAGCCCAGCCTTATCTGCAGGACCCCCACTCGGCAACCGGGGCACCTCAGGCGAGCAGGGAGAAACACGGGCGGGGCAGGGGGGCTACCCAGGCATCCACACAGCCCTCAGCCCCTACCTGGCAAGGCTTCAAAGGAGGATCCCATTGCCCCCTGCCTTCACACGCTTCCCTGGACACGTATCCCCTCGTGCCAGCTGCAGGGTGAAGGAGGTGGGCAGCTGGGGCCGTGGGGAGTCTGCACAAAACTCCCTGGGAAAGGGAGGGGACACGGCTGGCAGAGGGCTCCTTCACGGCCCAGCACCATCCCCTGCAGCCATCCCGAGGGAGGCCAGCCTGCAGCCAGAGGGGTGGCAGGGATGGCCCAGGGTGCCTCAGGGATGCCAGGGTGCCTCACCGAGCATCCCGCAGGAGCGGCGGCGGCGGCCGGGCACGCCCAGGGGCCCCGCGGAGCCCTCCTTGCGCTCGCTGTACTACTACCCAGACTCTGACTCCAGCAGCAGCAGCAGCTCTGAGGAGGTGTTTCATGGCTGCCACCGACCCTGCTGCGAGGTTTGCTTCCAGAGCCCTCGTGGCTCCCTGGACAGCAGCAGCACGGACACGGACACAGAGCCCAGTGACTGTGAGGATCACCAGACAGAGCACCACGGCGGGCCCCAGCCTGTGGTGAATTTCAAAGAGGATCTGAAACCCACTTTCGTGTGACTGGGAGCACCCCTGCTCCAAAGGCAAGTGCCCTCCCACCCCCAAAACACTGTGTGTTCTCTGCAGTGCTAAAGCCACACATCCCTCTGGGGAATGTGCCTTGTTCTGGAATGTGGGGATTTGCCCCATTCTGATCTGCGGTGTCAGCCTCAGCCTGGTCAGCCGTGCCTGCAGCCTGAGTTTGGCTGAGAGGGGCTTGGCAGCACTCGGGGAGGTGGCAGTGGCCTTGTCCTGGCTGCTCTGGGCAGCAGCCTGTGTCCCACAGGTAGCAGCAGTTCTGTCCATCCTGGTGCCAGCAGTGCAGAAACCGGGGCTGGGGGTGTGTGAGAGCCCAAACTTCATCTCCTCAGAGAGCTTTCCCTGTGAGACCTGCGTGATTTGCTCTGGCAGGGAGCAGCATCCTGCCTCAGAAACAACCATGGCTTCTTGCACACCTCTCCATATGGACCGACAGGACACTCCTTCCCCTGAGGCTGCCCAGGCAGAGCATCCCTCTGGCATCACCCCAGCTGGGGATGGGAGATGGATGCCAGAAGCAGCTGCAGGCGGCCCTGCACCTGGGGTGTGCTGCTTCCAGGCAAAACAAGGACTTTGGAAGGGGGGGTGCACAGCAAACTTTTGGGTTTTGGTGGGGTTTTTTTTGTGGCATCTGAACGGGAAAATGGAGTCCAAAGGTGATGTCTGTGGAGGTGTCTTTGCATTTTGTGTTCTTCAGGTGCATCGTTGTCGGTGAGACTCAGGTCAGAGCTGAAGGGAAAGACAAGCTAGCCATTGTAAAGGAGGATCTGAAAAGGGGTTTCTTTTTTTACCTTGATTTCTGGATCTTGTGCCCTTCTGTCTGTCTTTGTATGGATGATATAGTCTGGAATAAGGTTTGTTTAAATTAATATGCTCTGTTAATTTTTATCTTAGAAACACCAAGAACAGTAAATCCAGTGTGTGTGCCTTTTTGGGATATTTATCGTGGCATTTGAGCTTATCGTTGCTTCCACAGAAGTTCAGGATGCTGAGACCTGATGTCCAGTGCAATATAAACCTTCTGGAGAAGGGCTTGATTAAAAAAGCAGGTGTCAGAGGAATCCCAGAGCTGCTTTTGAACAAAGCATGTTAGCACTGCCCTCCACATTACCCAAATGATGAAATCCCTCACTTCTCTCTCTTCACTGGTGTCACTTTTTCCCCCCCTGTTTTCTCTGCCATTTTCCAAGCTTGCATGTAGGGCAAATCATCAAACTCAGTAATCTTATGAGGAACAATATTCCCACAGCCCCTGTTTGCTTTAAAATGGAAACACCCCAGACAGAGTGTAACCCTTTTTTTTTTTTTGGTCGCTTTTTTTGCTAACAGAAACCGCTCTCTTTCAGTTTTGTCTGAGCACTTGTGGCTCTGGCGTGGGAGAAGTGCACTGACTGGAGGGTCCCCTGCGTGTGCAGGGCAAACCCTGCCGGCTCCCTGCAGTGGGACTGGGGATCTACTCGGGATCTCGGTGCCCGTGCCCTGCAGCCGCCTGCAGTTCTGCAGCGCTCGCAGCAGGTGCTGCTGCTGCCACGCCGGGCGTGCCGGCAAACACCGAGGACATCCACGGCATCGCCACGCTGGGACAAGGCGGGGAGACAAGCACGCTCCAGGGACCCTATTAAATGTGGGTCAAAACCTCTCCCCACCCCCAAACGTGTTTAGAATAACACTTTGCTCTGGGGCTGGGAAATACTGCAGCACAGTTAAAGGAAAGGATCAACCATGAACCCACCTGGAAGCGGCTGATATAAAAATTAACTTTAAATCCACTGGTGAATGCAGAAAAACCCTCCAGAGGACTTTGAACCTAGGGTTTGTTTGGAAACTCACTGCTGGAATTTGAGGTCGTTGCTTTTCTGTGCAGTGACCAGCAGCCACCACCTGAAAACTGCACAGCCCGTGAATGCACCTACTCAGAAGGCCAAGAGCCCTGTGGTTTGTGTCATAAATAGTGTGCCCAGCAGGACCAGGCAGTGATCATCCCCCTGTATTCAGCACTGCTGAGGTCACAGCTCCAATATTGTGTTCAGTTTTGGGCCCTTTCCTTGCTGACTGCTGTTTAGGGGAAGGGTCATGTCAGAGCCAGGATGAGATCTCTCCATGCCTGCTTGGCAAGAGGCGGGAAGGTAAGGAAGCCATGGCTCAGTCTGCCTCTGTTACCCTGACAGCTTGCCACTGCTTAGGAAATAAAAAAATTGATTGTGATTCAGTTGTCTAGTAAAAGAAAAAAGAAAAGAGAAAGAAAAGAGGAAAAAAGATGAATAAGAGCTTTGTTAGCTATGGAAGAGAGGGATTATGACAGGCTCTCTGCCATGGGAGTGCTCACCATTGGTGTGGAGGTTTCCCCACTGCCTCCTGTTGGCATTAGCAGCTGGGATCTCTGGGAACTTCTTGCTCTGATCTTTGATACTAGGTGGAACTATGAGAAATAATGAGTGTTTGAAAGTACTGCAGGAGAGAGAACCTTCTGGTGTCCTTTGCCTAGAGTAACCAGACTGTGCGATCCCTGGACACAGTGGTGCCACATCTGTGTGGAGACACTCCTGTGGCACAGTGGGGAGCAGAAGTCAGGGGCCCTACAACTCCAAGTAGCCTGTGCTGCAGGTTTTCAGGAGGTGAGGGAGCACCCACATCTGTACATGACCTCCATAAGTCTGGAAGAAGCTCCAGAAAAGTTTTCCTTGAGTCTGGCGGCCATGAGGGCTGTGGAGAAGTGCTCTCCTCCTGAGCAGTTTTGTTCTCCTGAGCCAAGAAACCAGGCCTATCTCTTCCCTTGTCTGGTTTTTCAGGGCTGTCCTCTTGGCCTCTGCCTCCAGCTCTGCACTGCTCAATTGCCAGCTGCTGCTGTTACCCCAACGTCTGTGCTTGCAGCCACTTGAGAGGCACCAAACCCATCAGTGCAAGCTGCATCCTGATTGCTGGCCTTGTGCTCAGGCAGAAGTGCTTGGGGAACTCCATGGAGACAGGGAAAAAATACCATCGAAAGAATTGTGGATGCTGGCATGACAGGAGAACTGTGGACAGCTCAGTAGTTGATGTTCACTGCAGGGACTTTCTGCTACGTGACACGGTCATGCCCTATGGACCTGATCGATCCCTGAACACACCTGGCTGGGCAAGTGCAGGGGACACTGCCACATGCTTCCAAGAGTTTCTTTCTCTCATGGACACTGTGTATTGAAACTGCTGGAGCACATTCACCTCTCAGTGTTTACAGTGGGGTTCCTTGCTTTCACACCCACACCACCACCTTTCCCCTGTGTAGAGGTGCATGAAGCTGAGCTGGTTTTCTTCTAACTCAGGCATCCGTAGCTGCGTGCTTTGTGCTGCCAGAGCACAACCATTTACGTAAGGTTTGTTGGGGTTTTTTTGTACTGGAAATTCTTGCAGACAGGATGGGTACGAGGGACTTTGTCCTGCCAGGCAGCTAGATAAAGCACTCAGTGATTCAGCATTTATTGCACCCTACACAGATTCCTCTGTTATCATACCAGCAGGAATGTGGGGCTAGAAGGGATCTCCTAGTCATCATCATATTTCCCAGCAATGACAAACAGTGAGTCATAAAGTCCCTCTTGTTAATTTATCACAGTCCATCTTAAGTCATTGGGAATTTTCTTGGCAGGTTATTCAAGAACTTCACTTTGACAGAAGGAAACTTGTTTCTGATCTGCAGCCCACATTTTTTCATAGCCTATTTTTGTCTACTTGTTCTCATGCCAGTGCTATCTTCTAGCTAGTAGCTGTGCTTCCTTCCCTTCTCCAACCTACTCTCTTACATGCCGATGAAGAATGTGGCCTCTTCTTCCCAGGATCCCTCGTCTACTCAGAGAAGAGACTGTCTATTTTTAGTTCCCTCTAGCAGCTCATACCTACCCCTCTTTCAGTCTGCAGGAAGGCTTTGAGGAAGAGCCCTGGTTTTATTGCTACCAGGTCATACCCTTCCCTTGGCAGCCATGTGAGCATGGCTGTGTACGCTGTTCCCTGCCTCCAGCAGCACAGGAGGCCCAGGGTTCTGGGACAGAATCCTGCTCACCTTTGAAAAGAGAGAAGAAACACTCATTGGGAGTTAGGACCTCAGAAAGGCAGGCCAGAAGCAGGCAAAATTCCAGAGGGCCATCAGGAAGCTGACATTTTCTCTGCAATGGCCCTGGGGTTCCCAGCACCCATCGGGTCCCAGATTTACCACCAGTATGTTAAAAATCTCACAGAAGGGCTGTTCATCCCTGTTTCCTTTCAACACACCTCCTGCAATTGCTGAGAGATGCACCTCTGCCTGGTGAGTGCAGAAACCATGAAGAGCTTTTATTTCTTGGAGTTTCCCATGGCTTAGAAAATCCATAAGGATGTGAGTTCCTTAGAAAGCCCCTGGTACCTCTCAAGGGGTTCACAGAAGGGGAAAATGAAAGCACACCCCTGTGCAGTGTCCTGATGACATGATCCAACATAGGAATAGCATGGATATTTTATTGGAAAAGGTGAATATAATGAGCAAGGCACCCTTCTGGAGTGTGCACAGGCTTCCAGGCAATTGCATCTCGTATCTAACCCAAATGAGTCGGGTGATATTTCAAACCAAAGAGAACAGCAGGAATAATATTAGCTGATGCAATCGCACCTTGAATTTACAGCAGTGCTAGGCTGCAAATGCTAGTGCTGGATCCATGAACAGTAGGGTACTCTGCACATGATTGCAGCAAATTCAAACCCTGTTTGAAAGCAGCTCCGTTTTGGTTGGGTATTTTTTAACAGTCCCCCAAACAGAGGTGGTGGATAAAGACTTCTTTTCCTCTGACAGGTGAATCTTACATTGATGGTGAACTACACTTTGGCAAGAATCAGTTAATTTCCTTGCTATTACAGCCTTTTTCATGTCAGTAACAAAAACACATTTAGAGCTCTCCTGCTTCTGCAGCCCATTCTTCACAACTCTCCAATGGTGAGGCCTTTTTCCTAGCTCTGCAAATAAGGGATAGGAGCGTGCTGCAGTCAGTGAGGGAGCCAGGCTCTCCCTTCCCTGGAAGGCCAGCATTACTGGGTACCTGCTGGGCCTCAGTACACCACCTTTGGGCTAAATACTCACTGCCTTCTCCTGGAAAAAAGCTCCCAGCCCCCACT